TGAGAGTATATTTTGCTTAGAGTATCCGCGTAGTGATCGATGCTGAGAATCAGAGAAGACACGTGTATGCCCGCCTTAGGAATATCCAGGCCAAACAGGTCGGAAGGCTCTGAAAGCTTCAGGCATTGGTAGTGCAGGAGTTTCTTAAAGACGGGCAGCTGATCTAACGTATTGAGTGCGTTCGGCACGGACTGGCTCAGTGTACTTTTAAAACTATATCTTTCAGGTGTATCTGTAGATCCAGCACCAGAATCATGCAACTTCTTGAGAAGGCTCAAATACGCACATTGTGAGCCAATCCTGCAGTTGCACTCGTCAAAGTTCAGGTGCAGAACTTCACTCTCCCATAGGAATATAGAGACCAGAGTGTGCAAATTATCCAGATCCCGGCACATTTTGTGCACTCCTATAACGAGCGGAGCGCTAACTGCGGTTCCTACCGAAAGAGAGTTATTTTGGTCGGATTTTTTGAAATTTAGGTTGTCAAATATAAAGATGGGAAATCTTTTTTGATCTCTTGCAACTTCTCCCATGTCGAATATTTTTCGGATGGCCATTAACTCATTTTTTGGGGATGTAAGTGCATTGCCTGTTCTAACCACCAAAAACAGGATGTTCTTGTTTTCATTAGTGCCTTCGTTAGTCTCCAGAATGAGGTTGCTCTTTGCCCACCGAATTTTCGGGTGTGCCATGCAGATTTTCGAGTCGGAAATATTGCACACTACTTCATTGTTACTGGAAGCGGCTTCCCTTCTTAAAACTACGGCGTGACTGCATATGCACTCGCATTCACTGAAACCTCCCGCTATCGACATTCCAAACCGCTTCGCGTTTTCTTTGGCAATTCTCGGGTCTACAACTTCCGCAAGTTTGTTTTGCGCGCTTTTTACAGGCATAGACGCATTTTCATTCGTGCGTGAATCTATAAGAGGGTTGTTGGGCTTTTCTATGTGAAGGACTCCATCCCGGGTTATAAACGGGATTTCATTCGCCCCATTCGTATATGTACTTTCTGAGATGTCATCTGTGTGTAGATCTATAAGAGGGTTGTTGGGCTTTTCTATGCGAACGACTCCATCCCGGGTTATAAACGGGATTTCATTCGCCCCATTCGTATATGTGCTTTCTGGGATGTCATGTTCCTGTGCCGTATCATTCGTTGCCCCATGCACTGCATCATCATATGTTTGTATACCAATATGAGGATTCTTAGCTGTTTTTTTCATGGAGAATCTTTCTGGCATTTCAGGAGGAGATGTATTCGACTTGTTGATGTTCATGCTTGCGGGAGTATTTTGTCCTAGAATTACATCATCATATGTTGGTATACCTATAGTCTTAGTTTTTTTCATGGAGAGTTTTTCTGCTACTTCAGGGGGAGATGTACTTGACTTGTTGATGTTCATGCTTGTAGGAGTATTCTGTCCTAGAATTACATCATTGTATGTTGGTATGTCAATATGAGGAGTCTTAGTTTTTTTCATGGAGAATCTTTCTGGCATTTCAGGGGGAGATGTACTTGACTTGTTAATGTTCATGCTTGTAGGAGTATTCTGTCCTAGAATTACATCATTGTATGTTGGTATAACAATATGAGGATTCTTAGCTGTTTTTTTGATGGAGAATTTTTCTGCTACTTCAGGAGGAGATGTACTTGATTTGTTGAAGTTCATGCTTGTAGGAGTATTCTGTCCTAGAACTGTATCATCATATGTTGGTATGCCAATATGAGGAATCATAGCTGTTTTTTTCATGGAGAATTTTTCTGGTACGTCAGGAGGAGATGTACTTTCTGGGGTGTCATGTTCCTGTGCCGTATCATTCGTTGCCCCATGCACTGCATCATCATATGTTGGTATACCAATATGAGGAGTTTTAGCTGTTTTTTTCATGGAGAATTTTTCTGGTACGTCAGGAGGAGATGTACTTGATTTGTTGATGTTCATGCTTGCAGGAGTATTCTGCCGCTGTCCCGTATTATTCACTGAAACAGCAACAGAAGGTGCCCTCGTTGGGACATTCACATCCTTGAGGTTTCTCTTTATGTCGTCGAGTGTTCTGGTTTTAAAGAAGCTCATGCCGTCCATATTCCAGGCATTGCCGCTGCTTTCACTGTCAGAATCTGGCAATGGCGATGCAGGCATACTCTCTGGATTTTCTTGCACTTCCAAATATTCGGGCATTGCATCTGCAGGGAGAGTCTGTACTGCAGGTCTGAGCGTGGGCTTCAGTGATGCTGGCCTTGAAGGTACAAGTACTGATGCAGCTCCAGGAGATTGTTCTGGGCTATTCGGCTCGGGTGTTGACGGCCTGCTTTCTCTTTTGTTTTTCGCCCAGAGCGTGCTATTACTATTCCCGTGCTTGACTGCAGGAGGTTTTTCGCCTCCATTGAAGTGCACAAGCTTGCTTGGGTCAATGGGGACTCGCTTTGTGTTTGCGTGTGCATTTGAGGGGGAAGGTTCACTGCCTTTGTTTGAGAATAGTCTGGCTCTCTCCTTAATAGAGAGTCCTATGGGGGCGTCTTCTTCTGGTTTCGGGTCAACTTTCTCTGTGCTGGGCTCCTCTTCAGATTCAGCAGGCGTATGCGCACTATGTTCGTTTGCATTTACTCCCTGCACATGCCCGAATGATTCTCTTGCTGCATCACCTGTTGTTTTTCTTTCATTTGCTCGTTTCTTATTTTCATTCAGAATATTCAGTATGGCTTGGGCTTTGATTTTTTTGTTTTGGTCTTCTTTCTTCGTCCTTTCTAGGCCTTCAACAATGCGTCGGACAACACCATTTTCCATTATTGTTCTCGTCTCTTCGTCTTCGTCTTCATCTTCATCTTCGTCTTCAGCCTGCAGTTCTGCCTCATTCATTTGCTTCTGCTTTAATTTCGCTTTTTTCTCTTCTTCAGCTTCTTCAAGACGTTTCTTCTCTTCAGCTTCCCTATCTGCTTTCTCCTTCGCTATCCTCACATCTTCAAGACGCTGTGCTTCTTCTTCTTCAAGACGTTTCTTTTCTTCGGCTTCTTCAAGACGTTTCTTTGCTTCAGCTTCTTCAAAACGTTTCTTTGCTTCGGCTTCTTCAAAACGTTTCTTCGCTTCGGCTTCTTCAAGACGTTTCTTTGCTTCTTCTTCAAGACGTTTCTTTGCTTCAGCTTCTTCAAAACGTTTCTTTGCTTCGGCTT